GACTACAAGAGGAGATGATGATGACGAAATTGGCCTTGTTTACCCTTTGGTTCACGTGATTCCATGGGTACGGGTACTGATTGTAACAAGCTCCAAACTGCTTGTTTTTTTTTTTTTTTCTTCTTTTGATTTGTTGTGAATTATAAGATTGATATTGATGGATTGGACTGCCTATAACAACTAACGGAGGTGCTCCACTCATTGTTACCGTTGAAAACAAGTATCGTTGCCAACACATGAACTCTTCCCCCCATCTCATCCTTTCCACACGCGCATCTTAGCTTGTGTTAAACAAATAGAGTTCAATAAAATGAGACAAACTGATTCAATTTTGACAATAGAAATTGATTCAATAACGCATTTCTGAAGGCGAATGTGAGATGGATTGAAGATGCATACATAATCAATGACTCAAAATTCTCAACTTCTCATTGAGCTTTCACTTTGTTTAGACCAAGTAAGAGATAGTCGTGGCAAACTGGCATCATACTATGCGGATGACTTTCTCCAAAATTGAGGAGAGTGGGGGAGACGCGATGGTGAGCAAAGGGAGGAAAAGTATTCCATTTTCCTTGGGAGGGTGGCAGTGACAGAGCAGAGGGGGGGCAGAGATACGGATGTGGACAGAGGTTTTAATGTATTGGTTTGAGACTAATAGGCCTCGTGATCGGAGAAGGCAGATCCATGGAAGACTGTTCCCGCTAGTCACGTGGGCTCTTTTGACCACCCAATGACCAAAACCCATCTTCTACCTTTTTTATACACCCACCCCACTTCCTCCTCCCTCCACCCCTTCCTCTCCATGTATATAAATTGAACCCCCAGAGACCCGAATTCCTCAGTCCCCAAAAAAAACATTTCTGACTCAGTAACTGGTATTTTTAGTAAGGGGTTCATTGTTTTTTATTTTGTGCAACTGGGTCCATCTCTGTTCCCTGTTTTTATTTCTCTCCTTTGCTATATACGTATGAATATCTCTCAATTTGCATTTCACGACAAGGTGGACTGCAGGTGCTGACTGTTATTTCGCCATTTTATTAGCTTATAAAGCTACCAAACAACACTCCCTCTCTCGTACGATTCAACTCTTGCTTTCATACCTTCTTTCTTTTCTTTTCTTTTTTTCAAACCTTATATTATTGCTCTTTCTTTCTTTGGCACTCAGCTAAGTTTGCACCTCCTTGGTTTCTGCCACATCCTTTCCTATAAACATCTCTGCCAATTTCCATTGCAATTGAAGTTGGGGTTTTTTGAAGTTGAGCTGATTTTCAAATTTTGAGATTTTGAGGGGTTGGAGGAATTGGGAAGGAAGGTAATCATAGAGAGGAAAATTAAAGTGGGTTTGAGAGAAATGATGCACAGGTGCTGTAGCTCTCAGGGAAACATGGTGGGGCCTTGTTCATGTGGTCTGTTTCATAGCCAGACTAACTCCTTCTCGATGTTATTTTCCATGCCTAACCACAAATCATTCGATGAAACAGACATGTATCCTTTCCCGACGTCGTCCCCTTCTTCTGCCGTCGATTGCACTCTCTCTCTTGGAACACCCTCCACCCGTCTCACCGAAGATGACGACCACCGTATCCACCATGACTACCGCGCCCCTAACTTCTCCTGGGATCACTTGTTGCAGTCCAAAAACTCACCTTACCCGCCACAACCACAGAAGCACGGCCGTGGCAGTAGTGGTAATACTAATGCTCCGGTAAATGACCCTCTACTCGCCCGCCGTTGCGCTAACTGCGACACCACTTCCACGCCGCTCTGGAGGAACGGACCCAGAGGACCAAAGGTACTAATTAATTCCTAATATTAATTCCCTTTTGCTTTTTATTTTTTCGAATCCTTACTCTGCAATAAAAATTTGTTAATTAATTGATTAATGAAATGAAATGCAGTCGCTCTGCAATGCCTGTGGAATTCGGTTCAAGAAGGAAGAGAGAAGAGCGACCGCCGCGAATACCAACAATGGCGGTGCAACTGCATCGGGAATAATGGACCCGCACCATGCTTACCACGCTTACCACGCACAGACCCAGAAAATGCCTTGCTTCCCTCCGGCCAATGAATTCCGATTCATGGAAGACAACGATCACGATCCCGACGCCGGTATTCCCTACCATTCTTGGAGACTCAACATCACGGACAGGCACACAAGTCTCGTTCATGACTTCACGAGATGAAATATAGTATCGATCACCATGATGATAAATGTCGAAGTTGATAATGATTATGATAGCAACGCTTAATTATCATGATCATGTGTTTTCATCATGTTTTTTTTCCTCTTTTTTGTTGCTTCTGTTTTTTTTTTTTCTTTTCCATCTTATATAGATGGAATGAGAACCGTGATAAGATAATTCTATGTTCTTTGTTTAATTTCTATAACTTTTCTATTTCAGTTATATAAAAAAAAACCTCTTGAGCTGATGATAATCTTGATGGGGATGATGATAGAACTATATATAAGTTTTTGTTTTTATTTTTTATGGGAAAGAACTATATATAAAATTGCAGTGTTAGTTTGATCCGTTTTTGATCTTATGCAATATTACATGATGTAGTGTTAATTTTCATTGCTTCAATTTAGAAATGCATAAATTGGTATATATGCATTTACTTCGTTGATGCTTGTCATGTGACTGCTGTGATGATTTGTTGTCAGCTTTGATTGTTAACGAATTATTTTCTTTGGACAATATAATGGTTCGTATGGGCATGTTTTATGAACTGGGAGTTTAATTACTGAAGTCTGAAAGTAATGTTTCCGTCCCCCTGAAATTCAGAACTGATGATGAAAGATTAGAATAGGGAGTTTGATTTCCTGGTGATGAAGTCTGATCGCCCAATTATATTTTGTTTAAGAAGGCGTTTGTTCTGAACCGGAGGACACTGTGCGGTTTCAGAAAACTAGTGAATTTGTCCTATTGCTCGTTTGCCATACGTCCAAAACTTGACCATCAATTTGGCTTCTTTTGCAGTCCCTGAGACAGTTTTCTCTGTGAATTGTTAAACCCTTTTCTCTTGTTTTCTTGCATTTTGAATTTTCATCTCTTGATTCTGTTAATTTTATATTCAGATTTTTTTTTTCCCTTCCGTTTTGGTTTTTGTATATGATTGTATCTAGGTTTTATATGTTAATTAATTCTATATTCAGATTTTTTTTTCTTGATAATATATAAAATTCTGGAATATTTTTCAGTTTCGTAATTCAAAAAAATCTCTAATTAATTAAGCCTCCACATGCCATAGAAGTTGGAGTACTAGATACATATGATATTTTACATGACATCCTAAACCAAGATTATTTAATGACTTAATACTTTTTCTTTTTCTTTTTGTGTGTGTTTGTTAACGGACCTATGTGCAACTCAGCGTGCGGAATATATTCTCCTGAAGTAAAAGATTTTAATTTAAAATATATTTAAGTGGAAAGCAAAAAAAAAAAGAAAATAATCTCTTAAAATATTACCTTAATATAAAAACCTTCTTTTTATATTGGTTACCAAAAAAATTCATAAGTTTAGTCTTAATGATAAATTTTA